AACGATCCGCCCGCCTCGGCCTCCCAGAGTGCTAGGATTATAGGCGTGAGCCACCGCGCCCGGCCCTTAGCGTCGTTTTGATTTACGTTTTCCTGATAACTAATGAATGATGTTGAGCCATCTTTCCATGTGCTTTTTGGCTATTTGTATATCTTTAGAGAAATGTTTATTTAGATCCTTTGCCCATTTTTAATTGTATTATTTGTCTTTTTCTTATTGAATTATACCTTTATATAATCTAGATACAAGTCCCTTATCAGACATATGATTTCCAAGTATTGTCTCCCATTGTGTGGATTGTCTTTATACTTTCTTGATAGTGTCCTTTGAAGCACAAAAGTTTTTAATTTTGAAGTCCAATTTTTTCTACTTTTTTCTTTGTTGCTTCCACTTTTGGTGTTATATCTAAGATATTGCCAATTCTGAGATCGTGAAGATTCCTAGGTGTTTTTTTTTTTTTTTTGGCAGGGGTAGAGTTTTACAGTTTTTGCTCTTACATTTAGGTCTTTAATCAATTTGGGGTTAATTTTTGTATATGCTATTAGGTAAGGGTCCATCTAGCACCATTTGTTGAAAAAACCATCCTTTCCCCCTTTAATTGCCTTGACACCCATGTTGAAAATCAGTTGACCATAGACACATGGGTTTATTTCTGTACTCACAATTCTATTCCATCGATCTATATGTCTGTCTTTATGCCAGTACCATACTGATTGATTACTTTGGCTTTGTAATAACTTTGAAATTAGGAAATTTGAGTCCCCCAACTTTGTTATTCTTCAAAATTGTCTTGACTATTTAGGAACACTTGCAATTCCATGTGAGTTTTAGAATCAGTTTATCAGTTTCTACAAAGTAGCCAGATGGTATTCTAATGGGAATTGCATTGTATCTGTAGATCAGTTTGGAGACTATTGCCAACTTAAACAATATTATGTCTTTTGATCCATGCACGTAGACTGTTTTCCTGTTTATTTAGCTCTTCCCCAACTTTTTTCATTGGTGTTTCGTAGTTTTCAGAGTATAAGATTTACACTTTTGTTAAGTTTATTCCAATTTTATTCTTTTTGAGACTATTGTAAGTGGAACTATTTTATTATTCATTGCAAGTGTATAGAAATACATTGATTTTTATATATTAATTTTGTATCCTGCGACTTTTGCTGAACTCTTTTATTAGTAATAATAGTTTTTTAACTGGATTCTTTAGGATTTCTTTATGGAAGGTTATGGCATCTGTGAATAGACATAGTTTTACTGTTTCCTTTCCACTCTGGAGGAGTTCTATTTCTTTTTCTTTCCTAATTGCCCTGTCTAGAACCTTCAGTACAGTGTTGAATAGAATTGGCAAAATTATACATCCTTGTTTTGTTTCTATTAATACTTAAGGGAAAAGCATAAGTACGATGTTAGCTCTGGGGCCCTTAATCAAGTTGAGGAAGCTCCCTCTATTCCTATTTTGTTGAGTATTTTTATGAAAAGCTATTGGATTATGTCAAATGCTTTTGTGTACTTTTTTAGTTGATAGTGTGGTTTTTGTTTTTTATTCTATTAATATAGTATGTTATATTAATTAATTGTCAGATATTTCAGCACTTTTGCATTCCTGAGATGTATCTAACTTGGTCATGGTATATAAGTTTTTCTATATGTTTCTGGATTCAGTTTGCTAGTATTTTGTTGAGGATTTTTGCATCCATACTCACAAGAGCTATCGGTCTGTGGTTTTCCTTTTTTCAAATGTCTTTTTCTGGTTTTGGAAATGGTAATACTGGCCTTACAGAAAGAGTATCCCCTTCAGTTTTATTTTTTGGAAGAGTTTGTGAAGAATTGGTATTAGTACTTTAAGTGTTTTGTGGAATTCAACAGTGAAGCTGTCTGGTCCTGGGCTTTTCTTGTGACTAATTTTAATTATTAATTCGATCTCTTTACTCATTATAGGTTTATTCTGATTAACTATTTGTTCTTGAGTCAATTTTATCTTTCTCGGTCTTTGTCCATCTCCTTTGAGTTATCTAAGTAATTGGCTTAGAATTGTTCATAGGAATACCTTTGTAATCCTTTTTATTTCTGTAAGGTTAGTAGTGATGTCTCCTCTTTCATTTCTGATTCTATTAATTTGAGTCTTCTCTTTTTTTTCTTGATCGGTATAGCTTAAAGGTTTGTTAATTTTGTTGATCTTTTATAAGAATCTCATTGTTTGACATTTATTCTGACCCCAGGAAGGCTCCTCTCAGCTTTATTTACTTGCTTCTCTCTGGCAAAATAGCCAGCCTATAGTTTAGCCTATATCTCCAATGAATCTATTAGTTTCCTCCCATTTGCCTTTTGCTATTATCTCCAGTTTTTTTGAGAGCACCCTTAGGCTTGAATGTCACACTCTGTAGCAAATGGAGTCTGTCCCTTTGGGAAGAGATTTGGAGCTCTCTGTTTTATGGTGTGCTTCTCCCTCTGGTTAAAATTTCTGAGTCATGGCTCTCCAGCTGGGGTTTGGAACAATGACACATTTCTCTCTGAGTGATACCCCTGCTTTAGGAGCTGAGCATTTGGTGGCAGGAGCAGAAGTAGCCTCAGGTCTTCTCAGGCTTGCCTCTGCAGGCTTAGAATCTACACTTGATGAATTATGAATGGGCCACGTCAAGAGCAGTCTGGACCTCAGCATTTTCATCACACCACATCCAAGGTAGAGCCTATGTCCCAAGGTTGAGGGCTGGATTTCACCCACACTTGCTTGGAACTTAGCCTCAGCAACAGGTAGCTGGAGTTAGGATGAGAAATGCAGATGTCTCCTGGGGGAGCTAGCCCTCTGACTGGGAGATGGGAAGAGAGGGATCCCTATTCTTGGCTGCAACAGTCTATAATGTTCCTGTGTCATGGAGGTGGGAGGGAGAAGGGAGAAGGGAAGGGGTAAGTATTGGTTCACAGATTCACTGTTCTTACCAAGTTCTGTGAGATTTTCTTGAATAAGTGTTTCTTTATTTGCTGTTATTTGTTCATAGGACCATTTCCAGAGACTTTAAATGGTGTTTTTTGTTACTTTTATAATTTTCACCAGTTTCAGTGGGAAGCAGGTCCATGGAACTCTTCACACTGTCCTACTGGAAATACAACTGCACCTTATACTTTTGACTGGAGTTGGCTACCTTTTTAGTATTTTAGAGGAGAATTTTGAAGTGCCTTGAAAAGCTTAACGAGATTTTTTTCCCAAGGGAAGAGCTCACTAGGAAAAGAACATGAAGTCCATAGTAGAGCATAAACTCTCAGATTAACACATTTTCATAGCAGTTTTGTGTTCAGTATACAGACGTGTTTTGTTTTTCCTTTAGTGGAAGTTTTTCTGGTTTTTAGCTACAATTATGGCATCATGGTCAAACAAACCTATTAAGAAAAGCATCATTTAATGACCTTGATTCTTTCTTATTTTTCTATAATTATAACCCTAGTGTTTGTTAATGTAATTAATGTTTGTCTGGCTTTTGTTTTTGTTAGAGGCAGTAATGAACCAGGAAAAAAGAAACAGCATATTTGTCATATTGAAGGATGTGGAAAAGTTTATGGCAAAACATCTCACCTACGAGCACATCTTCGCTGGCATACTGGAGAAAGACCTTTTATATGCAACTGGATGTTTTGTGGCAAAAGATTCACAAGGAGTGATGAGCTTCAGAGACATAGAAGAACCCATACAGGTTAGTTGGTTTATTTTAGGACTTGTACTTTTTACTTATTTTTTCAGTGTTTAGATAAAAGTTTTAGTGATAATTTAGCTGTCAAATTGGAAATATGCAAATGAAGAGGAAATTATTCACTTTAGCAATTATGTGGAAGATGTTTAAGATCAAAATTCTTTACCTCATTTCTAAAATATATTTTATTCTACTTTTTGTAAGCTTTATCAGCATATTTATATGACCTGGGATTTATTACATTTATCTTGTATTCTTAGCATGTTGAAATCACATACTATTTTTCATAAGTGTTTAAATAGATGAAAAGAGAGTTGAATTGTGATCTTAATGGTGACTTTCATTAGTTTTGTTTTAGTTTTTTTTAAACAAATCTAGAAAATTCACCAGGGTATCAAGAATAATATATCAAACATCTGCCTAATAACCCTCACTCAGAATTGACAGTTGTTAATATTATATTTTCTGGTTTTTTAAATAAACCAAATGATTTATAAAGTCAACATCATCTTTGCCCTTCCACCTCTCAAAGACAACAGCTACTATGAATTTAATGTGTCTAAGTTTTTTAGTATATTTTTAATACTCTTACATATATTATTCATGGATCTGTATATAAAACATTGTTTTGTGTATATTATGACATGTTACATAAATAATGTTTTAGAATTATAAATTATTATGTTTTGTGATCTATTCAAGTTTATATGTATGTATATTTGCATAGATGTATTTCTTTTAGTTGCTGTATAGTATTCTATCACATGACTACCACACTGTATTCATCTGCTTCCCAAACGGTTGAGGTTATTGCTAGGCTTTTTTTTTTTTTTTTTTGCTATCACAGACTTCGCTGATGTGAACATTCAGTTAAGATGTATGAGAAGTGGAATTATTGGATCACGGAGAATGTATATGTTTGATTTTGCTAGATAATGGCTAAAGAATCTCTGAGGTGGCTGTTACAGTCTCTACTGCAGTAGCAGTGATTAACGATTCCCACTTCACTGTGTGCTCACCAGTGCGTCAGTAGTGTCAGGCCTCAGAAGTTTTGTCATTCTAAAATGTTTTTTCATTTTTTAAAGTTGTATTTTTTCTGATTATCAGTGAGATTATGCATCTTTTCATGTGTATTGGTCATTTATATTTTTTTCTGTTTATTCTGTTTCTCATTTTCTTTTGAGTTGTTTTCCTTCTTATTCATATGATTTATATGTTACAGTTTACCCCTGTATTGCTAGTCTTTTATTTTTGTGCTACTTTTTGTCATATGGAAGTTTTACATTTTTATTTAGTCAAATGTAAATATTTTCTTTTGCTGTTGCTTTTTGTTACGAATTTTTTTCCTATCCCAAGATCATAACGTTTTTAAAAACATTTTCTTCTAATAGCTTTCAAGTTTTGTTTTTGTAAGATTGATCTTTTATCAGCTTGGAATTCTTTGTGATGATGGAATGAAATGGGAATATAGTTTTAATTTTCTTCCATACAGAAAACCATTTTTGCTATAGCCACTTCTTTCTCTATTGGTTTGTAATAATTCCCTTATATAATTTCTCCTTTAAGTGTGGCTCAATTTCTGTGTTCTCTGTTTGGATGCTTTATCTATTTGTCAGTTGCTACATCAATACAATGTTATTTTAACTACTGTAGGTTTATATTAAGTCTCTCTTTTTTTTTTTTTTTTGAGACAGAATCTTGCTCTGTTGCCCTGGGTAGAGTGCCACCCTGGGTAGAGTGCCATGGCCTCAGCCTAGCTCATAGCAACCTCAAACTCTGGGCTCAAGCAATCCTCCTGCCTTAGCCTCACAAGTAGCTGGAACTACAGCCGCGTGCCTTCATGCCCTGATGATTTTTTCTATTTTTAGTAGAGACGAGGTCTCTCTCTTGCTCAGGCTGGTCTCAAACTCCTGACCTCAAGTGATCCTCCTGCCTTGGCCTCCCAGAGTGCTAGGATTATAGGTGTGAGCCACCACACCTGGCCTGTATTAAGTCTTGACATTTGGTAGAGCAGTTTTCATTTTTTTGCTCAGGATACCCACCCTCTCTATTGAGAGCATTCCTGGTACATATTTGGGACTCAATATTTAATTATTAAGTGAATTTGAGTAAATTACTGAATTAGACTTTAACTTGTATGAAGGTACATGTGGGATAGAAAGGGAAATAGAACTGACATTTTTGATCAACTACCATATATCAGATGTTTTGAAT